AGTAGTACAGTAGTAGTAGTACAGTAGTATTGTAGCAGTAGTACAGCAGTATTGCAGCAGTAGTATTGCAGCAGTAGTACAGTAGTAGTAGTACAGTAGTACAGCAGTAGTACAGTAGTACAGCAGTAGTGCAGCAGTAGTGCAGCAGTATTACAGCAGTAGTGCAGCAGTAGTGCAGTATTACAGTAGCAGTACAGTAGTAGTGTAGCAGTATTGCAGTAATTTTTCTGTAAGCTGGTACTTGTTGTCCTGTAATCCTTTGCCTGTGTGATGATGTCTTGTTGCTGAGTTGTGTGTTTGGATTCTGACATATTGACTCTGTTCTCTCTCTTCCCTCAACCTCAGAATAGCATTCCCTACGAGCATCACACCAAGTAGACGCTCGCCATGTCCTCGTGTGACGGCGGCAGCGCGGGGTAAGTCCCTCCCAGTGTTCTCACCGTGTTTGCAGCTCTTCAGCCTGCTGTCTCGGTCGGACGGCGGCTGTTTTGGAGCATCATGGTCTGTTCTGACACTGGCTGCTGCTCTGTCTCCGTCAGGTGGTGTCTGAGGTACCATCCTCTGGTCTCCAGCTACGAGCTCCTCACTGAGCACCAACAATACAAGCAGTCCGAGCCCTGATCTCCACCATAACGTCTACGGCTCCAGTCACAGACTGACCCTCTGATGCTTTTCCATTTACCTTTGTGGTCTGAATCCAGACTGTTGGTTTTCAGGGCTCTTTTGGGGCCCCTTGAACTAGTTTATCAGGGCTGACCCGGCACCGCAGCAGGCTGATCCAAACCATGAGGACCTCACGGACCGCTGCATCAGCCTTCCTCACTGGACGGTTTGTCAGTGAGAACTCTGAATGGGAGCGTCTCGGTCTGAGGGCGGGCGCACTGTTCACACGTTCAGTTTTCATTTCGTCTCATTTGTTCGTGTTGTCGCCGACAGCCGTCCCCACACGCTCTGATTGATTCAGCTGTGTTAGCGAGTAACTCTAAAGCAGGCATCCTGCTGCTCGTGTATGTGAGCTAGCATCAGCCCCGAGACAGCAGCTGAGAGGCCAGCTTATAGCATGACATCACATTTACAGCTGCACGCTGTTTTCCATCTGTTTTTACCGTTGGCTAAAAATCACTCATGTACTGTTTTTAGTTTATTCAAGCTGGCAGGTAAATCTCAGCACTGTTTTTTGTTGTTGTTTTTAAACAGGATTTTTAAAGTGCTAAAGTTAGCAGGCTAGCTGTAACATAGCTATGCTGCTATGGTGGCGACGCTAACATCTTTATCTTATTGCAAGTTAGTAAATGAGCTGCAGGGGTGTAGATGAGCTGATGTCCTTGTTTCTCCTGCAGCGTGGAGCCGGTTGTTTGGGCAGAGCGAAGATGTTAGACGCACCCGGGAGAGCAGAAGGTTGTCTTGATTTGGTGTAGGGACTGACTTTGGGAATAAAAGGCTAAATGTAACACAAAAGATTTTCACAGAGCACGTTTCGATGCATCGCAGGCGTCTGGATACAAACCTGAGTGTGAGTTAAACTTAAGAAGACACCTTTGCAGGGGTTGGGTTTCCCCCGAGCGTCCCAGGTTTCTCAACACATCATTTCACCAAAAGTTCTTTCACTGTATATATAATATTCTTACTTTTGAGTTCGTATTGTTTCTGCACTGTGAAACATTTATAATATTAAAGTGTGTTTGGGTTTTTGTGACGTACCAGTGGAGAAGAGTCTGAACATGATTCAGGAGTCGCTGCGCCTCCTTAAGGGCAACACATGAGAAGCTGAAGGACTCATCCTGGTGCTGTGACAGCACCGTCTGCACCAACCAGAGTGTGTGCCTCTTTTTCCAGAACTAGTGCATTGGGTTTTTATATGAATGCGTCTGACAGTCGACTGTAATAAAGCTCCATCTCTGCTGTGAAAAGGCTCTGTTGTGTTTTTGATGTGGACCTGTGCGCTCTGCTACGCTCTGCAGTGTGTAGCCTCACATCTCTGTACACATGAGCCAGGAGAACAGATGGCGCTGCAGCAGTGTGCGCTCTGATGTTGGTCTGAGTCACACAGAGCAGCTCTGCAACAGCATCAGGAGCTGAAACAACATCAAAGTTTGTAGTGCAGCAAAAGTCAGGGTGTCGCTCCAAACACATGTAGGAGGGGGAATAACTGGGCAGCTTGAGCTATCATATAATATACTACATGTATTATAGGTAAGTTCACTTTGTCTTCACAGTGCTGATGTAAGGATCCTTGAGAGGGAGTAGAAATGTCAACGTGAGGTCAGAGGTTTAAAATCTTTCTGCAGTGTTTTCTGTAAATGGACAAACTGCACAGTTTGTAGGTTCTAAAGCTTTTTGTCAAGTTTCCACCAATAAATCATCAAGTTGACTTTGAAGACTTATCATTGATTTATACTTGTCTCTGATAACGGCCAGCACGGTGGTTACACTGTGCTGAGTTCAGGTCCGGGTTAGGGAACTCGGGATCGCATCAGGCCGGGCTCTGTGTGGAGTCTGCATGTTCTCTCCCGCCTCCTCCCACAAAGACATGCAGTTAGTGGGGATCGGTGTGAATGGTTGTCTGCGTGTTGGCCCTGCCACGGGCCGGCGACCTGTCCAGGGTGGACCCTGCCTCTCGCCCTATGACAGCTGTGATAGGCTCCAGCCCCCCACGACCCTGATAAGTGGAAGACGGTGGACAGACTTTGATGACCTCAGTGGATGTCAGGCAAACTTTGAATGGATTGTTAACACTGGGCCACTCTACATGTTTCCAGTTATGTTTACAGACACAGTGACACCAAACACAGAGGTTATGTCACATTATTGTAACTGAGAAACGTCACAGCACTGCTCACTGAGAGCGGGGCTGCAGTAACCCTGCTTTCATATTACGACTAATCTGTGTTGACCTTTCTGTGATTATTGTTTCATAATGAAGAAAGGTCAGATATTACCAAACATGAAAAACTCATCTAAACATGTAGTGTGAAAATAAATGTCTTGGAGACAGCAGCTAATCAGATATTTTAATTGTCAGGTTTGGTTCAGCACATTAAAATAATAAGAAACAGCACTTTATACGTGAAACAGACGACTGTCCAGCAGAGTGAGACGAGCAGGTGAACAGCAGCAGTGTATCATGAAGCCTTTTATGGGCATGTTGGATCACAACAGACATTTTTATGTTTCCTGTTCTTGTTTACCAAGAAACAGAGGAACCCACAGACTGAGCTGCAACATGTTTTCTTTTATTAGCACGTCAAGCTTCACCCTGAGCACGAGCTGCATCTGCTCACAGACTCGCAGATGTGATTGAAAGCAGCTGAAGGAGGTTTTTACAGATGAGGAGGACCGATAACTACAAAGATGATTCTACACAAACTGGTGATGAGTCCTCTTACAGGTGTGGGGCGTCAGAGCCATTTCAGCTGAAAGCAGCTAGTGAACCTGAGACACTTGGATGTACATTTGTGATCAAATGTCAGCTCTCTCTTTTTTTTACCGTAGCATCAGTTCTTTCTGTGTATTATTGGTACAATTTATGCTATCTCGCTAATACTAATGTTAGTTCCCGGTGTCTTCTGGTGCCTCCGTCACCGTCATGTCTTCCTGCACTTTCACAACACGGACTTTTCCATTTTCTTTTCCCGTCTGCTCCTTTTTGCCTCCGTCGTGTTCTTCGTCTGCCGCCTGGTTGAGGCCCTCCAGCTCAGCGGCGCTTACGGCCATCTCAATCTTCGCCTGTCCATCTTCCCTCCTAATGCAAAGAAAGTTCCCGGTGGCAATGACAAAGGCAGACACTGTCACTTCACAGCCCGCCAACAGGAACACGTACATGTACTGATGGGTAGCGTCCAGGAGCCGACCTGGTGGAGAGTGCAACAGTGTTAGTATGAATGTCGTTCATTGTCCCCGTGATCACTTTATAAGAACAAGGAAACTAAGAAAGGGACACATGCAACGGTGGGTTTGTGTCCATGCATGTTGGAAAGATGCAGCTGAGTACATGACCTAGTGTTTGTCACTGACTATGGATGAAGCTGGTTACACCGAGGGTTGTTATCTTTGGTTTTATCTTAAACAGATACACGAAGTCAACATCTCTGTAAAACACGTGACAGCTGATGTTCTTCGGGGAGCGCTGGGACAGCTACAGCTAGCTTAAGAGCAGTGTTGGTCAAGTTACTTTAAAAAAGTAATCAGTAACTAATTACTGATTACTTCCCCCAAAAAGTAATCCTGTTACTTTACTGATTACTTATTTTCAAACGTAATTAATTACTTAGTTACTTTTTAAAAACACGATTTACAACCTGAATAGGTGATAAAGTGATAGATCTTTCAGCCCAATTCTACTTTTTCTACATAATCATCATACAAAATGTAATCAAATGGAAAAGTCTCTTTTTAAAACTTGTTTTATTATTTTTAATCTTTTAACTTTATGCATCAAGCAAACATTTAATTATCTGCAACATTCTCTGACTGGAAGAAATTAGTTTAACATTTAAACCTATTTTCTGCACATTCCAGCACATAAAATAAAATATTTTGTGTGTTTACACTCAGTCTTTCAAATAGATGCAAGTAAAACACAGCAGAAAATAAATAAAGTCAAAGACTAGCGGTCCTGTTGCTCTATTTTCACCTGTAAAGCAGGAGTGGGGTAGGCGGAGGGTTACCCTGGTGCAGGTGTGCAGCGGTCAGTGGAAGAATCCGCGAGTTTCTCTGTGAGTTTCCCATTACGTCGTAGCTACTCGGTGCTTGTTTGGAAGTTTAGGGGTTTTTTGCTGTAAAAAGAAGTTTTCTTCCCACGCACAACGGACACTAATGTTTTTGTCACTTTTTATGGAATCAAACTCAAAGTAAGGTCAGTACTTCCACGCTTTAAACGCTGCACGCTCATACTCTCTCTGCACTCGATATATGATCCATTGTTGATCTGCACACAGCTGTTGTCACCAACGTCGCACTCGCTTACGTCACTGTCATGAGACATTCTCGCAAAAAATCACGGTTTTAGTAACGCAGTAACGCAGCGTTCCTACGGGAAAGTAACGGTAATCTAATTACCGTTTTTGCAATAGTAATCCCTTACTTTACTCGTTACATGAAAAAAGTAATCAGATTACAGTAACGCGTAGCTTAAGAGCATCTGAAGCTCAAACACTTTCAGTCTGGATCTCCTCATGTTGGCTCAGGTGATTAAGTGGTAAACTTCACAGCACAAACCCATCCACCGTGCTAGCTTTCTATTATTTTAATAATTATCATTAATATTGTTTTGCATCGAGGGCAACATGGTGGTTGTAACCCTGTCCTCGGACATTTTCCCATGCAGACGTGAAGAGATGCAGATTAAACTGATAATCTGAGGATTAGGTGTTATTATACAGACGAGATATTTTACTCTAAATGTGGGCGGGATGGTAACAGAGAGCGCACCATCATTGCTTGAAACTCTGACCTGCTCCAGGAGGTCCCACCAGCACAGCAACAGCTTCCATTAGCAGCACCAGGCCGATGGCACTGGAAAACTTCTCTTTCCCCACAATGGCCATGAGGACCTCGAACTGAAGTGCTCCAACCATCCCGTATGATATACCAAAGAAAATACAGAAGACCACCAGACCAGCATAGTTCTTTGCCTGAAATGAGACAACAGGTTTCACACTACGTATACAGTTTACAATATTCACGTATTACGACCCAGATCTGCAATCATTAAGACGACTCCCCAACTGGAAGCCATTCTACCTGAAGAGGACTTGACTGCAATGTTACCTGCGATCCTATGATGTCAGTGCACCCATTGAAGATCATAGCGAAGCTGAAGAGATAGACGCTTCGAGGCCGCACACGCTTCATGCCTGCTACGAGTCCTGATGCGGGTCGGGCAAACATATCAACAAATCCTAAGATCGAGAGCAGCAGGGCTGAGTTGGTGTCCTTGTAGCCGAGGCCTTTAGCATAACTGACCACAAACACAGGCGGCACAAACAAGCCTAGCACCATAACAGAAGCTGCAATGGCATAGATCACAAAACCTCTGTCCTTGAACACACTGAAGTCCAATAGTTTCTTCTTTGCCTTGGGTTTGTCTGCAGCCAGCAGAGTGTTTTCTTCCAGCATCTGGGACTTCGTAGGGGTTGACAGGGGCCGCATGAGAGCACCGCAGGCACAGCAGTTGAACAGCATGCCTCCTAGTATAAGGAATCCACCCCGCCAACCATACTGGTTTTGGAGACTCTGCCCCAGTGGAGACAGACAGCATAGCGCCACAGGGCTGCCTGCTGCTGCCAAGCCATTGGCTAGAGGACGCTTCTCACTGAAGTAGCAGTTCAACATGATCAGAGATGGCTGGAAGTTCATCGCTAGACCCAGACCTGCAGAGAGACGCAAGTGTAGAGAAATGAGTCACACTGCAGGGTTAATGAATAATTGATTGATTATTGGATCAATTAATCAATTAAGACTG